CCAAAAAATACATAAATAAATAAATAAATAAATAAGTAAAAACAAACAAAACAAAACAGAACAAAAACAAATCAAAACAACAACAACAAAACTGAAGGCAAGTTAACCATAAAAAAGAAATTCCTGTACTGATAGTTTTTACTCCAAATTAAGATAAGGAGAGCATAATCGGATACAACGAAATAAGTATTAAAGCATCATTATTATTTTTATTTCACTTTTTGTCTTAAATTACTTACTTACTTAATGAATTAATATTGTTAAACTAATGAGAGCTACACTGAAAACTCTCATGGCGATTTGGGCCCCCTTTTCAAATATTATTATAATCACAAAATGAAAAATAATAATAATAATAAAAACCCTGTTTTACATTGCAGCTCTATCATATTTCTTTAACCGATTGTTCATGCTGATTACGCATTGTTTCCAGTTTTGCTCTTTTTGTTCTTCCTCACAAGGATAAGCCTTGAAGAAATATTCGCGCACCTTCGATACTAAATTTTCATTCAGTGTTGGTTTCTGTACAGTCCCGTAAACACTTCTCCCCACTCTCATCTCCTTTGTACTTAACTCGTTCAAAAGAACGACAGCAAAATAGAATGGACTGACTTTAGCCTGTATCTTTTTGTTTTTAAGTTGGGATAAGGCCTCATTTGTCAGATGAGGTATTTCGCCCGACTGGTCCAAGGCAATATTGGATTGAACTACGTTTTCCGATCTGGAAGAGGTTGGTGCCTGATTATTCACCATTCCTTGCGACCCCGAACCTTCTTTGCTAACGTCTGTCACCAGCGTTTCCACTTTCTTCCTTATGGCTTCAAGTTCGTTCAAACTGACTTGTTGATTCGAGAGAAGCAATGAAAGAGTATTTAATATTGCACTTTTATTTTCACTTGGTGTAACGGAGGGGGTTGGGTGGGAAACAGAGGGGTACCTAGGCCCCTATTCATGTGGCTAAGGTTGGCACCTCCCGGAAGAGTGTTAAGAACATCAAAAGATGGCACTGAGGGCAAAAAATTATAGCTGGTTTTAACCGGCTGCAGAGCAGAATATGTTGTTGTATTTGTAGTGGTGTCTGCAACAACTGGTGCGTAAGTTATGGCCAGAGGTGGTAAGCTTTGATTACCACTGTCATCACACGTGGCTATTTCCTGCAAAAGATCAACGTCCATGGAAATTTCTGCTCCAGGAGATGTTGGAACAAAACTCTCAAGGGGAAACACTTGATCAGTGCTTGCACTAGATGTTGGAAGTTCAGTCGCTGGCAGAGAACTTTGTGGCGGAAAGCTGTTGTTGTTGCTCTATTTCAAACGAAAACAATAACACTTACCAGTCAAGGCGATAATTTTAGCGGGAATACATGGATTTGCAGCATCCCAGTAAACTTCCACCATGCTTCCTTCTCTAACTTTTGCCATACCCGAGACAATTTTACTTGTCTTTGCCGTTTCCAGGGTGTTGTCCAGGGGAAAATAAAATAAAGGGTATTTGTAACTTTTAAGTGCTACACGAGTAGACAATTTTTGACCGGGTGAAGTCAATTTTGAGCAAGGAGTCGCTTTGGTTTGCTCAGAAACTACCGAAGAAACTTTTTTTAACAAACAAATTCTCTAGGGTACGCTTGTTATATACCGGTAATACCTAGTATCACATTTCTATTTTCCCGGTGTCAAATTGGGCCTCTTGATTGTAACTTATGGGTGTAAGGGAAATGACGCGGTAAAAAATGACTTGTTGCCGGGTGTTTCAAAACGGCAGTTCACATTTCAATTCAACTCTAGCGCAAAAAAAACACCTCCCTGTGAGGATGTTAAAAACAAGACACCCACAAAAAAAACAGAACACGCAACTTTCTCCAGTGACTTCTTCTGGACACGTCGTCGACATATTCCCATGATATGGAAATTTTTGCCAAATCAAGCACTATAATATCTTCAGTGCGTGCCCAGATAATTCTTTTAACGAGATTTTTGAGCTGACAATCATTTATAGTGTCGCAGAAGCGAATGGATTCAAACTCATG